CCAAGTGGATGGACGAATTTGAGAACTAAAGAGGCCAAGAATATGAAGAATTATGGTCCAAAAGATGAAGAAAACAGCCCAAAAATCTGTCACCCCAACCTGCATTCCTTGCCATGCAAACCACATAGAATTCCCTTTGGATTCCCATGCCATGCTTGATCACTCTTGTCCCCTACATAATTTCTGATTTCATGCTTTAATTCATTTAATTATTTCACTCAATTGCTTGATACCTCTTGTTCCCTTCACCCATTAGATTTTAGACAATCTTTACATCCATTACATGCACCAATTGATGCTCCATCATTCACATTTGGAATCCAATGGCATGTGTCACACATGTTGTTGCACCTTTGACCCATTTGTTGACACATTTCACCTCCCTTTCCATCTCTATGCAATGTACACAATCATTCATGCTCCCTAGCTGCAACACCACTCCATTTTACCCTTCACACTTTGCATCATCACTTCATTTTCACCCTTGGACCATTGCATACCACACACACCAACTTGCCATGCATTTCATCCCTAGCCTAACCTGATTTTCTAAGGTTTTTGGGGCCTATAAATACATGTTTACACCCCTTGGCCAAAGGACAATTCCCCCATATTCATCATTTTATCACAAAAATTCGTCCATACACACCCTAGGAAGCAAAACACCCCAAAAACACCATTCTAGTGCCTAGAAAACATAACAGCCACTCCACCTTCTTCCACCCTCTTTGCCTAGTTCTCCACCACCCTCCAACCATCAAACACTCTTCCACACTCACCCTAAACCCCTCCATACCATTCCTCATCCATTCTACACCATAAAAACCATCCAAAACCGTCCAAAACCTCTAGTGCCGCTGCTTGCAAGGAAGGAAAGAGAAGGAACATCTTGTGCCGTGCCTATGCCCAAGCCTTGGGAGTGTTGGAGCGTTTCTAGGTGTTTTCTATCTTTGTTTTTAATGTCTAAATTTATGCATCTTTGCTTTGTAAGTATGAGGAACTAAACCCCTCTTAGTTAGGGGGTGATTCGAAACTATGTTCATGCTTGCAATATGATTTGATTACATCCAGTTGTGATTCATAAGTTGTGAATTCAATTTACTTATCCGTTCATATAAAAACTAATTTATGTATGTTGGTTAAGAGTGCACGCTTAATCTTCATGCATGAATTTGACGCTAGAATATAAGGGAGTTTCACCTAATCGTTATAAACTTATATTCACAAGTAGTGAAGGTTGCTAGTCACAATCACGTTAAGTAAACTCTTGGCATAAGTTTCATGCAAATCATAGTAACGAGTGCCTCGTCAATGCTTATGTTTTTCATAGAACTTAATGATTCTTGCTTGTATCTCTATTATGCAATTCATGTAGGGAACTTGTAGGGAATGTTTTGGGTTGTCGTATGCAATCATCCAACCTAATAACTTGTGGAAAAAACTGAGGGTTAATTAGTGCAATTCACGGTTAATTTGGGGCGTTGAGTATTCATAGCTTATCGAAAAGCAACTGGAAATCGTTTTGTATGCAAGTGTGACATATGTGGAGAAGAACCTCCTAGCTAATCTTCCATCCATAAGTTTCATTCAAATTCACTTACAATCTGTTTTGTTTTACAAAGTTGTTTTGTTTTCAAATTCATTAAAACCAAAATCCCCCTTTTACTTTATTGTTTCAAAGTGTTTAATTTCTGTTTTGGTTGTGTGTTAGAGTGTTTTGATTCACCCAAATTTGTCTAAGAATTTGTTTACTTTGTTCTTGTCTTAATTTAATTATTTTCGTCGAAAATCAACCCCATCTTATTTCTTTGAGTCATATTAATTAGAACTTGTCTTAGATTATGTTTTTAAGTGTTTTAGTTCATTAGAAAACCAAAATTTGTCCAAGTTTGTGTGAGAGTCCCAAAATTGCCCAGATTGTGTTTTTAAGGTAGTTTTGAGTGTTTAGGGGCTGTTTTGAGTCTTTTGGTTTGTTTTAGTGTTTTAAAGCATAGTTTTGCATTCTTTGAGTCTAGTTAGTGTTTTAAACTTTGTTTTTACGTTTTCAAGTCAGTTTCCAAGTGATTTAGCAATCCCTCCTAATCCCCGGCCTAGAACAATCCCTACTTACTTTACTACAATTGATAAAAAGAGGGTTTAATTTGTGTGTTTAGTTATTTTACGCATCAGTAACTAATTTTCTCTCATCTTTCCTTCAATTTCGGCTACTCCTACTCTACCTCGGATATCCTTTCCTAATCTTATCCTTTCTTGTGTGCTCACACATTCAACGAAGCATTCTCATCTCCACTACACCCATTGTATGTACGTGTTGATGCTTCATCGCCTAACATTCCGGGCCATAAACCAGTGCCGGCTTTATTTCCATCCTATAAAATTTTCCCTGAGCTTCACTGGCATATGACGGTCACACAACATGCATGATGTACTATTCCACTTCATCCATCTAGCTTGTATACTATGGTTTAGGTCTTCATCCAACTCTCCGTTCTTTTGCAAGATGGATCCTAGGTAGCGAAAGCGGTTACGCATTGGTACTTCCTGATCTCCAATCCTCACCCCTAGCTCATTTGAGCCTCTGTTTGCACTAAACTTTCACTCCATACACTCTGTCTTTGACCAACTTAGGTGAAGACCTGTAGATTCCAACACTTCTCTCCAAAGGTTAGGCTTCGTATTTACTCCTTCTTGATTTTCATCTATTAACACTATATCGTCTGCGAAAAGCATACACCAAGGAATATCATCTTGAATATGTCCCGTTAACTTATCCATTACCAAAGCAAAAAGGTAATGATTTAAAGATATGTCTTAATGCAACCCTACAGTTATGGGGAATCTTTCAGTTTGTCCTTCATGAGTTCTTACAGCAGTCCTTACTCTATCATATATCCTTTATATCTTGGATATATGCTACTCGTACTCTTTTATTCTCTAAAATCCTCTAAATAATGTCTCTTGGGACCCTATCATACACTTTTTCCAAATCTATAAAGACCATGTGCAAATCCTTTTTCATATCTTTATATCTTTCCATCGATATTCATAAGAGATAGATTACCTCCAAGGTTGAGCGCCCTGGCATGAACCCAAATTGGTTGTCTGAAACCCGTGTCTCTTGCCTCAATCTATGCTCAATTACTTTATCCCAGAGTTTCATTGTATGACTCATTAACCTAATACCCCTATTGTTCATGCAGTTTTGGACTTTGCCCTTATTCTTGTAGATAGGCACAAAAGTGCTGTTTCGCCACTCATTTGGCATCTTCTTCGTTTACAAAATCCTATTGAAAAGGTCTGTGAGCCATGTTATACCCGTCTCTCCCAGGACTTTCCACACTTCGATCAATATATCATCTGGGCCCACTGCTTTTCTATGCTTCATCTTTTTCAATGCTACAACCACTTCTTCCTTCCTAATTCGGCGGTAAAAGGAATAGTTTTTACACTCTTTTAAGTTACTCAACTCCCCCAAAGAAGTACTCCTTTCATGTCCTTCATTGAAAAGATTATGAAAATAACCTTTCCATCTATCCTTGACCACGTTCTCTGTAGCAAGAACCTTTCCATTCTCATCCTTGATGCACCTCATTTGGTTTAGGTCCCTTGTCTTCTTTTCCCTTACTTTATCTAGTTTATAGATATCTAACTCTCCTTCTTTGGTATCTAGTCACTTATACATATCGTCAAAAGCTGCTAGCTTAGCTTCTCTCACAGCTTTCTTCGCCTCCTTCTTCTATATTCTATATCTTTCACCATTTTCATCGGTCCTATTCTTGTATAAAGCCTTACAATATTGCTTCTTAACCTTAACCTTTGTTTGTACCTCCTCCTTCCACCACCAAGATTCCTTTTGGTGTGGAGCAAAGCCCTTGAACTCTCCTAATACCCCTTTTGCTACTTTTCGGATACAACTAGCCATGGAATCCTACATTTGGCTAGCTTCCCCCTCTCTATCCCAAATGAATTGGGTGATTACTTTCTCTTTAAAAATGGTTTGTTTTTCTCCTTTTAGATTCCATCATCTAGTCCTTGGGCACTTCAAGGTCTTGTTCTTTTCTCTCTCTCTTTTGATATGTACATCCATCAACAACAAGCGATGTTGATTAGCCAAGCTCTCTCCAGGTATAATACTCTAAAATTGATTTTTAAGTATTTATTATATTTTAAAAATGTTATTTGATTTGTCTAAATTTCATAATTTGTTGGACATTAAATGCATGAGTTAAATCTCTTAAATGAGGCTAAAGACCTTGATCAAAATATTTAAAGAAACAAGGTTTCAGTCTAATAATTAGGTTGATTAGGGACTGAAACCAAAATGACCAAAAAAAAAAATCATAGCAAATAAATTAAAAAAAAATTATCACAAATAGTTTCTAACATTAACCTAACTCTTCATTTTAGTCTCTATATTTCAAGATCAATTAATTTGGTTTTGATTTTTAATGGACCACATCAATGTGATCATTCCATTAAAATTTTGTCAATTTTTATGTTAGTATGTTGATGTGCTACACATGTGAGCTTCACAAGTTTAATAATATGGTGCCACGTGAATTATACAAAATAATTAATTCTTTTATATTATCTAAATTTCTAAAAGCCATAAAAACAAAATTATAAAAAGAAAAAAAAATAAACAAATTAAAACCAAATCCAACACTTTCCCTCTTTCCCTCCGGTCAGAACACCTCTACCACCACCACCACCACAACAATTATATAAATCCTTTCTTCGTTTGTTGCACAAGTAATCAGCTTCTCAACCCTTATGCTTCAAGTACATCAAGGTTATGCTAGCTCCAACTGAAAAAAAGGGCATCGGCTTCGCGGTGATACTGGAGGACGCTGAGGACGAAGATGGGGTTGAGTACGTGGTTAGCCGGACACCTTATTGGCCGAATCAAGCACCAGGTTTCCGCCAAGAATCGTCCTATTTTGGACTTGTGGGTCTCGCAAGTGTGCCACATCACAAGTGTGCCACATCAATGTACAAACATAATTATTGACAAAATTCTAACAGAATGACTACATTGATAGGCGGCACTAAAATTTAGAGATCAAATTGATCAATTTTGAAACTCAAATATTAAAATGAAGAGTTATGTTAATATCATAAACTATTGGGCATAAAAACCCTATATAAAATACATATTTTACACAGAGAATTCCCACGTGCATGACCCAATTATCTCTAACCAGTTGGTCAAAAGTATGTTTGGTTTAAAATTGTGACCTTGGTTTTGATTTCCCAATTCACATTGCTAAACAGTAAGCTAGCTAGCTACTATCAACTATGATTTTGTTGTTTATGTAAAAATATGCCCTAATATCATAGCATCTAATTACAAATGTGGGTTTACAGCACAAGTGGAGGAGGACCTAATTATCCTTGCGTGTTGGCAAAGGCAATTAGGGTATTAGATGCATGATTAATTGTTGAATATTTGATTGGCCCAAACAAAAAGTTGAATATTTTCAAGCTGAATAATGTTCCTTTGTGAGATAATGACATCCTAACGTGTAATTTTGATTTACATTATTGTTCGCGATAAGATTATTTATCTGACAGCAGAAGTGTACAAACGAAAATTTTTCTCTTGAAGATTATTCATCCATAAGAAATATTCAAATTCCAGAAAGTAGGCATCAATGTTCCTAAATGGACAATAAACAAAGGTAAATTTGCCTTGTGAGTTTTGCTCAGTCACTTAAAAGCCAGCCACAAAAGAATGAGTATTACCTATTAGATCCATCAGATCAAACGACATTAATATAGGGCATGATAGGTTTGAAATAATAGTTGATTAGGTTAGGTGATCTTTAGATTTGAGAAGGACCACACGGAGAAAATTTTCGCCGAGAATATAGTCCGGTACAAAAAGTGTTCTACTACAAATGGTTGGATACTTAAAAAAAAATATTTCAACCAATTGTATCATCACATTTAATGTTCCGAGCATTGTTTCTGACACGATAGGACCAAATGATAGATATGCAGATATGCAGTCTCATGGAACACGTGAATGCTTACCAAAACGACATAAGCAAAGTTCCAAGTTTTCAACAACGTTTACAGTAAACCAATCAACGTCAAGCTCAGATAGGATAGGACTAGTCCTAGTCCTACCTGTTTGTCCACATCTCTGCTCGTAATTTCATCTTCATCCTATCCAAACAATTTTTATTCACTAAATCTATTTCAAGTGATATCAATCTTTTAAATGTTGAAAGAGAATCCAAGTTCAAATCGAAAATTGAAAAAAAAAAAAAACACACACACACACACACACAATTTGTATTCAACTACATACCTAGTCACAAAAAACATCAACCAAGTTTGGGGTTCAAAACTTTACGAACAACATTAAGCAAGTTTCGCGTCGAAGTTTTCTGTCGCGAGTCAGTAATTTTCCACTTCTATATGTACAAAGCCAATGAGCAATTGATGAAGAAGGTGTTGGCGTTGGTGTTGGTAGGAAAAGATGCCTGAAAAGTGTGTTAGGGATTATCATAATGGTGCACATAAAAATCATACCAAATTTTACATAAGAAAAGAGACCAAGTCATGTCATCGAGACGGGTAGTGTGACCTACAATGTGGTTTTTAATTCCTCCAATGGTGTAAACTTCATTTTTCATTGTAAGTTCTTTATAATCAATATTTAAGTCGCATTCCAACGCAATCTACAAAAGACAAGAAAATAAGAACTTAGAGTGAAACAATCAAAACAGCAAGAAGGTTCAAGTAGTTAAAAACATTCAACTTTCTCGGATTAGGGGAATCGAGAGAGATGGTATTTTCTTTTCTTTCTTTTAGAAGATTTTCGAGTTGGATAACTTGAACACCTAAAGGGTAACGCTTTGACCAAATGATGAGATGCTACAAACCTTGATCTTTAACAGAATTATATGAAATACCAACAGGTGAGCTCCAACATCGCCTACTATTTTTATCTGAAACATGTTCTTCCTTGAACCATCTTGCAAAGATGCCTCTGCAACAATCTGGCTGACATTTACACATGGAAACAGAATCCTAGTTTCGAAACTCACATTGCTGCTGTGAGCAGGCTGAAGGAAACCGGGAATCCGAATGGTTCCAATAGGCAGTCCATCATGAAGACTCAGAGTTTCAAGACGTGAAGGGCTATACCAGATTCCAAACTTGTTAGGATTTGTAGCATTCAGGGATAATGTGATTACAGATGAAAGAAACAGGGTTGAACCCGAATAGGCGTTGAGCTTATACGAATCCAAGCTTAAATTTTGAAGGGAAAAAACTGGCTTCTGGGGCTTTAAGTGGAAGATTACAACCAATACAATCACACCAAGAAAAACAACTGCTAAGAGAAAATAGAGGAGGAGAAAGAAGCATGATCTTTTGAAAGAACATGCACGGCAGAGTTTTCGGAAACATAAATAGTCCGAATTTTGTGATGAAACATCCATCGAAGATCATCATGTTAGCTTAGGCTAATTGACTGTACTATTATGTGTTTGTTTTATGATTGTTAATTAATGGAACTACTTGTACATGAAGAAGGAATTTGATTTCTTTCTTTTAACTGTGGCATTGTGTTATTCCTTTCTAGATTGATTCCACAACCTTTCAGTAGACCATGTAAAGAAAGGAATGATCTTCTTTTCTCAAACTTGCTTTATGCTGCCAAATTAAAAGAGTTAAGATTTTGTCAAATCCCAATTTGCTTCCCTTCTTTGGTCAAATACCATGGCTCGGAAAGATCATCGATTTCTTACAAGAAAGAAATGCTTTCACAAGTTATTACAAGGTTCTGCACGCTTCTTGTGCAGTAATAGCTTCTCTAATCTAAACTACCTATGAATAAAACCATCATTGTCAACCAAAATAAAGTAAAAATACTATTTAATCTTCTATCACCAAAAAAAAAATAAACAAATGATGGCCAATAATTTGAATTCACAAATCAAAATTTTACTGTTTTTTATTGCATTCCCATTTACATGTGATGTTAAAATATATCTAATATTAAGAAACAAAAACAAAAACCTCTCACCCATGTTCTCTCTCTCTTCCTCTCTCCTTCCCATTTTAAATACAAAAATAAAAAGTCTTCATACACACAAATGTGTAGTGGCAACAAAAATCAGCAATAGTGATCCACCAATAATAGGCACTAAAAACCGCACCAAAGAAGCCAAGGTATCAACAACTTGATTACCCTTCGTGAGTTTCATCCTGTTTTTGTTTTCGTTGATACGTTTCTTTATTTTTCTCTTCGTGAGTTTCGGCCTCATCCCTTCGCTTGTATTCTTTTTTTATCGTTTTTTATTATTTAATAAACTTCAGAGATGGGACGGCGCCTGGGGAGGATGAGAGGTAGGGGTCATTCTATCCAAGAGTTTGTCCATTCTAATCACTTTGAGCGAGAAAGAAGTAGCTTACTTTATCGTTGATGTCTAATCCTGGAGTCTTGGTTCTTTCTAACAGCCTACTGCTAGTTTAGGGAGTAAACTACTATTGTAGTCTAACAGTCAAACCTTCTATATAGTTTGACTCTCTTAATCTATTATTTTTTATTTTTGAACAAACGATATCATCTACACTAAGGGGGAGGGGTAGGCCTAGCCTCACAATAGGCTAGCAATAATGTGGTTCAAATTCGCCTTTGGCGAGAATCAAACATAAGATCTCTCACTTACAAGTGAAGAGGAATATCACCTCTTAATCTATTATTATTCTCTCATTAAAAGAAAATTACCTTACTCCACACTCACCACAAGCTTGACCCGCACTTCATGCGTAAGTGGTAAAATTATTTTCCTTGGGTTTCTGTCCTTAGCCCATGAATCTTATAGTCTCAACATTTTCAGCTTCTCGGCCCCCACTAGTTAGGCTAGGATGTTTTTTAGTCCACCACAATACGTGAGGAAATCTTGGGTATCACCGGAGATTATCCCCAAGTGTGTGTCTCACTAGTGACGAGTAAGATCTTCACATAAAAATGTAGAGAGTAAAATCTTTCACAGATGGGACATTGGGATAATTTGGTGACCTCGTTTAGTTTATCATCAAAGCTTCACAAGGCAAACGAGGTAGGTGTGTGTTAGATTCAAACTTCCCTTGTATTCTAACAATTAGAAAAAACTAAACCATCACTAACTACAATCCCACTAATTCAAACCCACATTTTTATGGTCAAAACTCAAATCACCAGCAGCCCCATTAACCCGGACTTATTTTCCACCCCACCTTGGTCCCTCCACCTAATCTCAATTGGTCCTTGGTCCTATTTGTCAGCTTTCTGCATATAAACATGTGAGTGAAAAAAAGGATGGCTTAAGTTACCCTTGTGAGCACAGAAGGAAGGTGCTGCAATGATGCTTCTGTTCTGCCATGCTTTTGCTGCTACCTTTAGCGAATGAGAGAACGAGAACAATCACAACAGCCCATGCATCAAGGATCCCCCCTTCTCCAGTACCATACTGATTTGTCTATCTTTTCTGCTGATGCACGAGGCAGGCAGAGGGTCCTGCTTCCAAGGCACATTTTGGAGCTGGAAAGCCCTAAAAGACGGGTAAATCTTGCGTGTAACCGTTTCATTATCTCTTCTTTATCTCTTCTCAAATTAGCGGTCACATGAAGAGAAAAGAAAGAGGTAATGAAACGGTTACAGCTAAGCGAAACAGGAGGCAATGAAACAGTAACTCCAGGGATGAGCGAGATAGAGAGTAGTGAAACAGTTAAAGCCGACTACACAACAAACTACGTGCCAATGGCACCGATACATGTCGGTATTCCGCAATTTAACCATCACGACAGAGAGAAGCAAGTGGCAGACATGCAGAGCATAGTGACAACACCCTTCACATGGCCGATGCATGTGTTCAGTTAAAACATAAAACCCGGACGGTACAACCAATTCCATGCCACTTGCAGTAAGCTAATGTCGTATGCGCCAGATACATCTGTGAAAAACACGAAACGAAAATGGCATGGCCTTTTGGTAATTCCGTCATCCTCAAAGGTCAGATTGTCATACAGATCTCTCTCTCTCTCTCTCTCTCTCTCTCTCTCTCTCTACAAACACCAAGTCAAAAGTACATAGAACTGAAAACCAAACAATGCAAAATCTGATGGCCTCTTGTAAAAAGGAAGACCGAAATAAATTTAAACAAGTACAGAATTATGAGGTTTCAGTATCATCATAACTCACACAATTTCATCGTTACAAACATGAAAGTTCAGAAACCACAAGTTCTTTGGACGAGAAAGTGGACCCATTACCTATACGATCTCCATACGCCATTAGCTACGGCTTAAATGCTCCCCCGTACAAGCCTTATCCATGTCAACAGCTTGCACAGATGTACTCCAACCCGAAACACATCCTGCAAGCACAAGAACTTAAGAACCCGGCAACTTTCTCTTCATAAAATTTTAGTGAACGATAACATCAAACGAAATGGTGAACAATGTCGAACTTGACAGGATTGAAAAACTCACTAACATGTAGCTTTATTTACATAAACTGGAAAGCTGGGGTAAGGTTCATCTCTCAGAAAGTTCCTCCAACAATTGCGGGCAGATCGTCAAAGGTCCATAGGTCCCCCGGATTACCACCATCCTGAGTTGCGTCTCCGTTAAGGAAGGCGTCCACTGAAGCATCCCAGCTCCCATCAAGATATGGGGTCTGAAAGTACTTCATCTCAAAAGCTGAGAGCTCATCAGACAGTGTCTTTCCTGCATTATCCTGAGGAAGCACCAGATCCTGTGAGTTGGGCTTCAGCTTCTTCGTTGGGTTAGCATCCTCGAGAAACAGTGAGTCATCAGTTTCTTCCATCACAGAAGAAAGAACTGATGAGATTTCTGGAGTCTTTGAGCCTTGTTCTCCCCAGCCGAAGTCAGAACAATCAAATGAGTTGCTTCCCTGATCGGAACTCAAATAAAAGGGGGCAGGATCGGATGGAGTAGAGGATTTCAGTGCAACATCTCCATTGGCAAGGAAGGTAGACATATACCCAAAGTTATTCAATGTTGGCTTTTCATCCAGAAAACCCAGAGCACTGTAATAGTCCTGACTTGAGTCGTTCACAAAATTGAAATTCTGGTTCAGATTAGACTCAGTGCCATTCACGTTTGTCTTGGGTATCAGTTTCTGAGAATTTGCCTTCACAGAACGCTTTGCAGAAGCACGAGGGGTTTCTTCAGGGAAGTTAACCTTGGCTTTCTTACCACGAATTCTGCGTGCCTCGGCATCATATGCCCTTGCAGCTTCTTCTGCAGTGTTGAAAGTTCCAAGCCAAACCCGAACCCCTTTCCTTGGGTCGCGGATCTCTGCAGCCCACTTTCCCCATGGGCGCTGGCGAATTCCCCTGTACTGGTTCTTCCTTTTTCTCTTTGCAGATTTCTCAGCTTGCCCATTGAACTCCACAGATTTCACAGCAGTAGAACCTTCAAGATCAAAAGAGAAAAAAACATTGAACACGAGCAAAAAGATCCATCAAGAAAACGTCACAAATCTGTTCAGATGTAAATCGGATTAAAAACAGATGATCAGTAGTCTCTTAAAACGGTGAGAAAAACTAAGAGGAAATTAACATAAATACAAAGCCGAGTTATACCACAAAAGTCTACAAGGAGCTCTAGATTTTCAAGTTTTATAGCATAATAGTTTATCAAATAGCAGCAACTGGATCCAACCAAATTCCAAGTTGCATGGATGAAATCATGATGATTCTAGATGTGATCTCAGAAATATCAGAAAGACACGAAGTGACAAACTTTGATCTCCATATCACAAGCATGATCATCACAAGATATTGGAAGCAAATTAAACAACATATTAAGAAACAAGCAGATGTTAATACAAAAGTTACATTCAAGAATAAAAATTATCATTATTCATAAAGTAAACTTGCTTGGAAATTTCATTTGGCTCTGGATCTGAGCTTGCTACTTGATATTTATACAATTGGAAATAGACCATAAATTACAACTAATCCATTACTAGCATAACAGAAAACAACCAAGTTTTATGAAATTTCAACAGATAATTAATTAAGAACAATGAAAACCTAGATTGATGATTTTATAATTAATTAAGACTTCAACTGATGAAACTCGTACAGTATTACCAAGAAGATCTTTCTACCCACCTAAACAAATTCCTCAGATTCAAAACACAAGAACTAAAACAAGTTATTTCTAAAGTGATCATCCCAACAATCTACCACAATATCACACACACATATATAATTAACAAGCAAGATTAAAGCTTTATAATAAGAGCTCACCTAGAAGATCTATTCAATTAAGGCCACAAATTTCCAAGTAAATTAAATAAAGCAACAATTAGAATTTACAAATTACCATTACAACATAAATCAACTCTTTAAATAAAATTAAAAAAACAATAAAATGTAAAATCTTTTGTAAAAGGGATGAAAGAGGAGATTTTTACCACGGGCAGAAGAGGGCTTTCCGGCAGAGAAGGCAGAGGGCTTGAAATCAACCATTTCATCGTCCTCGTCCACATCGGACTCGTCCTTGAATTCCTGGAAATCAGCCTCGAAGTCGTCGTCCAAGTCAACGATTTCGGACCTCAGAGGCTTCGAGAACCGCTTTCCCGAACTGGGTTTTTTGAGATCGGGCCAGAGGTAGTCGGCGGTCAGCCGCCGGGACCGTGCCGCCGGCGCTATGAAATCGGAAATAATAGCACCTCCACACATTATGCTGTTTCACGGAGGACTTGCAGCTGAAAAGGGTGTCAGAAAAATTAAAAAAGTTGGGATTTTTCAGGTGAAAAAGTTGAATCCACTGACTGGTTTTTGTGTTTTGGAAGTAAAGCAAGCGATCAGAGAGAGGGAGAGAAAAGCTTTCGTTATTTTTCTGCTGAACAAAATGAGGGTTTATCGTTTTATATTTTTTCTTACGGGGAAATGGCCGACGACGGATGGTGAGTTTACCATTTTGTCCTTGGTTAATGTGGAGATTTGCAGATGCCGCTGCTTTTGTTGCCCAGAATGCCCTTCTGTGGTGGTTGAATTTTACTGCTTGCTTTTGCCGACCAAGAAAAATAATAAGAAAACAAAAGAGGCAGATGAATTATTGAGAATCATGAGGGATCAATTTGGAGGTTAGGTGAAATAAAGCTCCTCCAAGGGACTATTTGCATACTTTGGCAATTGGCAATGGATGGGAACAAATAAAAGCATATAACCTTTTACATTCCAATTCTATACAAAATTTAATCTTTTATTTCCACCCACATCCTCGTTTAAATTAAGAGTAGGGCTGAAAATTTTTCCGAAATCCCAAACTAAACCAAAAAAATCCAGAATTCATACCGAAAAATTTCCAAACCGATAATATAAAAAAATTTGAGATCCATACCAAACCAATCTCGAACCTTTAGGTACGAAAATCTAAATTACATATTCAATGATTCAAGAATCTTGAACCAAACCAAAAAAATATATATATTTATTTTGGTTACATGCATGTTGAATGTTGAATTTAAGTAGTTTGATAGTAGATTACATTAGAAATAGAAGTATGAAATTAAGTAGTTTGGAACTTTGGAACATCAATTTGACTTAGTATGAATGAATTGGTATTTCAATTGATATGAAATTTCAAATTGGTATGAAGTAAAAAGCCTAAATTTCAAGTGATATGAAATTGGGAAACAAAATATTAGGCGAAAAGCCTAAATTTTGGTTCATAGCCCAAAAATCTCAAATTTCAAACCAAAAGCCCGAAAACCCAAAACCGAAAACCGAATCTCGATCCATCCTGATATACCGAAAACATTTTGGAAATTTCAAAAATTGAAAATACTGAAATTTCGGTTTGGAATTGATCTTCACATTCTCATAAATTTTCAGTTTGGGATTCGGGATCCCATCCCGAACGACACCCTAATTAAGAGTACAACTTTGTTCACCTCTTGACACAAAAACACAAAAAAAAAAAAACAAACACTTTGTTCACCTCTAAAATGGAGTGGTGCAGCATCCTAGTACTACAGTCTAGTGGTATTCCTGTTCACTTGTAAGTGAGATGTTTTAAATTCGATTCTCACCACAGGCGAGGTGAGTTTGAACCACACTATTGCTAGCCAATTGTGAGGCTGCATTCGTTCCCTCTTGTTTGTCAAAACAAAAAAACAAAAAAATCGAGAGACGCTCACCTCCCATTGATTGTCTCGTTAGATTGATTTGATTAATTGATTTAAAAGACGTATTTAAAAATTTAAATTAATTTAACAACAATCAATGAGGGTGAGCGAAAATGCACTTTAAAATTAAAATTAAAGGTTAACTTGAAGAACGTTTATTGGGTTTGAAAGTTAAGAAATCTAAAGAGAGGTTCACATATAATGCACAAAACTTTATGTGTCCTAGTTTCCAAAAAAAAAAAAAAAACTTTATATGTGTCCCCTAGTGTATTATGGTGGACAGATAGAGAAATAAAAAAAAAAAATTGTGTATGCCACTATATCGTGTCGTGCAAATATATAGACGTATACGGGAGTCTACTTTTAATAGTGTGTGAAATATCTACAAAAGTATATATTTTTGTTAAAATATTCAAAAATCAAGAATCGATATAGAAAAATGGGATGAAATGCAAACTTCATCTATGTCGACAAGATATAGAAAAATCAATGAACATCAACGATATTTACTAATTCATTACAGAAATTGTCAAAATTCATTACAGATTTCAAACTAATTTTGATTTTTTTGGGAGAAATTTTTCTCTAATTTCAACTAAATCGGAATGAGTTGATATAACCACCCTATTCTAAATTTTCATGAGTTTTGTGGAAGGCAACCGATATTGATATCTGTATTGATATATCTATCAATATTTTTATAAATTTACACATCAATATTTCCACCTATATATATATATTTTAAACACTGCTTTTAAATAGGGCAATTAGTTAGAATTGTCTTCTTCTTTTTTTTGTACATTTAATTGCAGAAATAATCAGTTTTAGTTCATTTGTTAAGTTTTAGAGTATGACATGTATTGTTTTCCTTTGTTGTGTGCATTGTTTAAATTAAGTGTTTTGGTGATTGCCATGTAAGTGCGTATGCGTTTGTATTAGTGATGGAGACGTAGCTTTGATCGAACACAAGGTTTGGGTAAAGATCGCACTAATTAAGCTAATGAGAAGGATAAAACAATTTCACAAGAAGTAGTTAATTCGTTTATGAAGATTAATTAAATGGGGATTTTTTTTTTTTTTTGTTCTTTTTCAACTTGCGTGTGTTCAGGTACATTTACTCACATTCCACTGTTCAAGTTAAAGTCACTTGTGCGATTACCCCCAAATTTTTAGGCCAACGCATTTTCAATATGATTTGTCCTAATTACATGAGTATATAAGTGCACAATTTATAAATAAACTTAAAAGTTTTTAATTTATGCTATGGTTGACACACTACGTGTATATAATTGATAATCATTATTAGCCGCACCTAAGTCATCGTTTAAAGTTACTCCTATGAATGTGAATGACAAATAACAATAACGCACAAAAAGTAGATAAAGAGAGTTGGATTAGAGTGAGGATTCTCACCGGATCCTCATCAGATCCTCTTTGTGAGGATCCTTGGAATTCTCAAATCACATCCGTTTATCATACATCGTACAGTTAGAAATCATTATAAATTTTTTTTATTTATAATTGAATAAAAAAAATACCTGACAAAAACTAACCATACGATGCACGATGAACGGATGTGATTGGAGGATTTCCAGAATTCTCACAAAGTGGATCCGGCGAGGATCCTCCCTCGTTGGATTGTAATCTTTATTTGTTTCTTGATTTTTAAAGGTAATGGAGGAGTTTGTTGAAACTCACATATGCAGTTGGTGTGATGTGTCTTAACTCCTAAGTACTAATGATGCTTTCACTAGATTCACTAGTAGAAAAAACAGCTTGTGCGACGAACAATATTTTGTGGCACAAGACATGCGTGACAGAAAAAAAAATTTCGTCGCGCAAAATAGAAAAGATAGGCAAAACAAATTTGCGTGACGAATACTTGTTGGCTTAACATAAAGTCAACCAGAAAACGCGGGGTAATTTTGTTTGGCGCGAAAAACTTGCACGACGAAAATGGGGCATTTGGACAACCAATGATTCATCGTGCAAGTTCCTGTCAGTTTTGACCATTTTTAGTAGATGAATCGGAGGAATCAATACCGCATTTAATATAGATGTTTGCGCTTTGTCGCGCAAAGGTCCTAACTTTCCTATAAATATGCACTTTTGCTGTCCTTATTCTTCACAATTATGTTCTTCTTATTCCTCATAAATCTGTTCATATTGGGATGGCGGATAAGTGGCGTTCTTGGGAATATGTGTCTGGGAATGTGAAGAAGGCTATGATGGATGAACTATTAGTAAGTATATTGTTGATGGATCAATAATTAAGCTTGTGAAATTTTTAGTTATATGTTGGAATTAATTATTTGCATATATGTGTAACAGTGTAAGTATACTTTTGATGATGATATGAACGAACAGTTGATGAAGTTGATGGATGATGCGTTGGAGGGAGGTTACAATAGGTGGCGTTATGAACTCTTGTGGAATGGACCAGGACCATTCAAATAGTAGTTTTAAATTTATGTTTTGTATGACAATATTTAAATTTAAGGTTTTTATATATATATAAGTTATGTATTTGGACTTAATTAGGTTTCAATTCCTGTTGGGTTTTTTTATTGAGACCTAATGTATGCATCCTATCCTCGGTTTATATGTGTTTTCAATCTTCAATGAATATCGTACTTATGCTGAGAATAATTGTATGGATTAAAGCATTAATTATTTATAGAATAAATATTTAAGGTATTAATTATTTATAGAATAATATTTCAGGTATTAATTATTTATAGAATAAATATTTAAAGTATTAATTATTTTTAGAATAGATATTTAAGGTATTAAATAATCTGAATATTTGTTTGTAATTATAAAGTTTACGTCAGCATAGATATCTATGTTTACGTAAACTTTATAATTACAATTATTTCATTCGTCGTGCAAATATAGATACACATAATAATGACCTTTGATGCTCGCCCCTCTCAGAAAGTCAACACCTTTAACTCTCTCTCTCTCTCTCTCTCTCTCGCTCTATGTTGTATATATGTATGTATATTTGTATATGACTAAACTTTTGTGTATAATTGAATGTATGTATGCCATGGTAGTTTTTTGTATATTTTTGTAAATCTCTGTTGGTTTCTTATATTGTGTGGAATGCAAATTGCAATAATGCAATATCTGCATGCACATTTGTTAGTTTTCTTGTTCTCTTTTGTTCGGTTAATGTTAGATCTTGTGTTGTCGTGTATTAGAGGCTGTTTTTAGGTTCAGTTTTCATCCTAGTAGTAAATTGAATTTTTCGAGCCTTATACTTCCATAAGTAAATTAGTGAACATCTGAGCTCTTTCTAGTTTGAACTCAGGTTTGAAAACACTGAAAACTCAGTGTGACCTCTTTACAGTACTAATTAAATTGCGAAACAAAATTCAAAACTCAGTTTGGATGTATTTGTATTTTTATATTTTATGAAGTGTAACCTAACCTAAATTGTCCTACACAAGTAGTCTTACCATGATATAACAGATGGATACCACAAATTGAACAGAAAATTCTTAATAGCATACATAAATTGTTTAAAGTCACACATGGAGAGTCTTGATTATATAAAAATATGAAGTACGTACTGCATAAAACCGGAATGAGAGATTATGTAACTAAGTCGATCTACTAATTAAAGCACTGTTGTGATTGAAATCACAGAACCACTTAGCTGATTGCTTGGGGTAGCGCTTGTAGTTGTCATCAAAATCAATGTAATAGAGTCTAACTTGCTGAGACAACCGTATACACAATTCAAAGTCATCGAACAGAGCCCAGCAAAAGTATCCTTTGACATTAATTTGCTCCGTTTCTGCGATAAACAGGATAAGAACATGATTATTCATTGAATCAATTTAATTGAATGGGGGAAATGCATATAGGTAAGTGGATTGGTTTTTTGTTTCTCCTTTAATG